GGTGGTTCAAGTCCCAGCTGGACTCGGATTCACCTTGCTGCTAGTGTATCACAGGAGGCTATAGACAATGGCTCAAAGCGTTTGGGCCCCTGCCAAAATATGGCCCTGCCCTGGCTGCTGGAGACATCCGTGGTGTGAATGAGTAGACAGAAAGTCTGTCTGTCTGTCTCTGTCATTCTGCATTTCAAATAGATGAAAATGAATAGATATTAAAAAGAAAGATTCAAGGGAGAAACCTATATAATAACAATACTGCAAAAGCATATGCCTAAATTACAAGCCCTAAAGCACACCCATTCATCCATTTATACTTACATGCATATATACATACATACTACAGTATGGAATGCTAAGAATTATAATCCTAATAAATAAAATAAATCTTTAGAAAAAATACATTGTGTATATTACCTAAATTACAAACTGAGAAGCTGAATAGTCCTTTAAGGACTAAAGTATGAGGGTACTTCAAAAAGTTCATGCTAAATGGTATCAAAAGGTAAATTTATGTGATACAAAAAATTTTGAAATCCATCACAGTTTTTATATAATCTACATTTTCCATGAATTTTTTGAATGGTTGCCTTTTCATAGACTTAAAAAATTTTTGCACCAAGTTAACTTATCTTTTAATTTTATTTTTCATGTACTTTTTAAAGTTCACTTGTGGAGGCCGGCTCCACAGCTCAATAGGCTAATCCTCTGCATGCGGCACCAACACACTGGGTTCTAGTCCCGGTCGGGGCGCCAGATTCTGTCCCAGTTGCCCCTCTTCCAGGCCAGCTCTCTAATGTGGCCAGGGAGTGCAGTGGAGGATGGCCCAAGTGCTTGGGCCCTGCACCCGCATGGGAGACCAGGAGAAGCACCTGGCTTCTGACTTTGGATCAGCGCAGTGCGCCAGCCACAGCGCGCCAGCCATGGCAGCCATTGGAGGGTGAACCAACGGCAAAAGGAAGACCTTTCTGTCTCTCTATCTCACTGTCCACTCTGCCTGTCAAAAAAAAAAAAAAAAAAAAAAAAAAAAAAGTCCACTTTGGAAAAAATAAAGGTAAACTGCATAGATATAATTCACTGAATTAACAAATGAGACAAGAATATAGTCATCTCAATAAATGCATTTAATATAATTCATTATTTGTTCATGCTATAAATTCTTATACTATCAATAGAAGAGAATTTTAAAAATCTAATTAAATGTGCCTACAAGAAAAATAAGTCACTCTTAAAGTTTATATATAGAAAGCTCTTTTTTAATGATCAGCAATATTCCCAAGAATATAAATAGCAGAGGAGATTCTAGCACAGACAGAAAGAAAAAAGAAGAAATAAAAGGCATGAAGGTTTGGAAATAAGGTGGTATTATTTGCTGAGATTATTCATCTATTTAAAAATAGCTCCCTCTAAATACCAACAGAGTTTGTGGACTCAAAAGGCTTCCATAGCCTTGGCAGCTCAAGTCAAGAGCCTCTGATGATCACTGACGTGAAAAATAAGAGTGTTTATTGTTAAATCAACAACAGGAGTCACTGCGAACTTACTCCCCATGTTGAACCTCTGTCCTTAATGGGGTGTACTATGAGAATTAACTGTAAAATTTGTCTTTAAACTGTACTTTAAACTTTGTGTGTCTATGTGGGTACAAACAGTTGAAATCGACTTAATATAGAGTTGGTTTTCTGTATATAAAGTTAATTAAAAATGAATCTTAATGAAAAATAGAATGGGAGAGGAGTAGGAGGTGGTATGGGAGTGGGGGTGGGAGGGTGGGAATAGGGACAATAAACATTATATTCCTAAAAGCTGTACATATGAAATTTGTATTCATTAAATAAAAACCTTCAAAATTAAAAAATAAAAAAGCTCCCAAAAATTTACAAATAAATTAGAATTAAAACAATGTTTTACTAACTTTTTAAACAAATAAACAGCCAATTTCAATTTTGATTACAAACAAGGGGTATAAAATTCATGAGAGTACCCAGACTATATGTAAAAAAAAATAGAAACTTTTAAAACATTGAGAGATATTTTTATTTATTTATTTATTTATTGACAGGCAGAGTGGACAGTGAGAGAGAGAGAGACAGAAAGAAAGGTCTTCCTTTTGCCGTTGGTTCACCCTCCAATGGCCACCGCGGCTGGCGCACCACGCTGATCCGAAGGCAGGAACCAGGTGCTTCTCCTGGTCTCCCATGGGGTGCAGGGCCCAAGCACTTGGGCCATCCTCCACTGCACTCCCTGGCCATAGCAGAGAGCTGGCCTGGAAGAGGGGCAACCGGGACAGAATCCGGCGCCCCAACCGGGACTAGAACCCGGTGTGCCAGCGCCGCAAGGCAGAAGATTAGCCTAGTGAGCCGCAGTGCAGGCAAAACATTGAGAGATATTAAAGAGCAAAATATAAGAAATATTCCTAGACTAACTAAAATAACAAGAGCAAATCCAATCAAGATGTCCAGAAGTTTCTATGCAGATAATGACAAACTGATTATGAGATTTCAAAGGAAGAACTCTAGACAAATTTTGCACTATCAGATGTTAAGACTTATTTTAAAGTTATAGAAATTAAGGTAAAGATTAGACAAGCTGAGCACTCAAATATAATAGTGAATCCAGAGGTTTGATACATACACACAGGAAAAGACAATGTAAGACAACATTAACTTTGAAAAACAATGGTAAAGGAGAATCTACTTGATAAATAATGATAAGGTTGTTAATCACACAGGGGAATAAAAAGATTACATTCTCATCTCAAACTCTACACCAAAATCAAATCAAAGTATTGGTGGATAAAGGATCAAAACATGGGATAAACACATTTAAAACATAGCTTCCTGCTAATGAGCTTGGGAAGCAGTGGATCATGGCCAAGTATTTCTGGTTCCTGGTTTCAGACTGGTGTAGCTCTGACTGTAGACATCTGAGGAGTGAATCAATGGATGGAAGATCTCTCTCTCTCTCTCTCTGATAGTCTACCTTTTAAATAAATAAATAAATCTTAAGAAAAAATAAATAAAAATAAGAAATTAAAAATCAAATCAGTAACAATCTTCCACAACCAGGAAAAGAAGGTGAAAACTAAATCCACATGATAAAGAAAATAATAAGCATTACAGTGGACATATGAAATTAATAATAGAACAAAAGAGAATAATCAATGAGAAAAAATTATTCTTTGAAATGATCAATAAATTTGACAAATCTGTAGCTGGACTCACCTCACCCTCCCCACGCCCCAAAAAAATACAGTAAAGTCTCAAATTAATGAAAGCAGTGACAATATTACTGATTTTATAAAATTGGAAAGAGTTAAAATAAACTGATACAAGTAATTGTATGCCAACAAATTAGATAATCTAAATGAAACGGACAGATTCTTAAAAACACATGAACTACCAAAACTGATGGAAGAAGAAGGAGAAAATGAATATAGTTATAAAATGAAGAAACTGAATCAATAACCAAAACATTTCTAATAAACAAGCCCAGAACCAAATGGCTTCACTGGTGATTATATCATTTAGGTCAACTTTTTTTAGGTCCTTTTTTTTTTTTTTTTTGCCAGAGTGTCTTGGCTTTCCATGCCTAAAATACTCTCATGGGCTCTTCAGCCAGATCTGAATGCCTTAAGGGCTGATTCTGAGGCCAGAGTGCTGTTTAGGACATCATATCAAACATTCAATTAAAAATTAACACCAATCCTTTTAAAGCGTGTCTCAAAATCAAAGATGAAAGAACATTTACTAATTCATTCTATGAGACTGGTACACCCAGATACCAACACCAAAGAAATCACTAGAAAACTACAGACCAGTATCTCTTAATCTCTTTTGAATGTAAATTCAACAATCTTCAACAAAACACTATAAAAATGCAGAAATAAGGCAGCACCGCGGCTCACTCGGCTAATCCTCCGCCTGAGGCGCCGGTAACCCCAGGTTCTAGTCCCAGTTGCTCCTCTTCCAGTCCAGCTCTCTGCTGTGGACTGGAAAGGCAGTGGAGGATGGCCCAAGTGCTTGGGCTCTGCACCTGCATGGGAGACCAGGAGGAAGCTCCTGGCTCCTGGTTTCGGATCGGGCGCAGTGCGGCCGATTTGGGGGCCATTTGGGGGATGAACCAATGGAAAAGGAAGACCTTTCTCTCTGTCTCTCTCTCTAACTCTGCCTGTCAAAAAACAAAACAAAACAAAACAAAAAAACAGAAATATATTAGAAGGATTACAAATGACAGCAGGTGGGATTTACCCCAGAAATGCAAAGTTGTTACAAAACATGAAAATCAATGAGTTTAATACCATATTAAAAGAACAATGGAAAAAGACACCCATATGTTCATCTTAATAATGCAGAAAAATCATGAAACAGAATACAACACCCTTTCAAGGCTATACACATACAGAGAAGAAAAAAAAAGCTCAACTCTCAAACAGACTAAAAGCAGAAGGAAACCTCTTCAACCTAAAGCAACAGCTATGAAAAACCCATAGTTAACATTATGCTTTACAGTAACACCCTGAAAGATTTCCCTCTAAATTCAGGAGCATGTAAAGGACTTCTCATATCTCTTCTATTCGACATGGTACAGTCTAGCCAAGGCAAGTAGGAAAAAAGAAGAAATAAAAAGCATCCAGATTAGCAAGGAAGGAGTAAAAGGCCAGAGCTGTGGCACAGCAGGTAAAGCACTGCCTGCAGTGGCAGCAACCCATATAGATGCAGGTTTGAGTCCCAGCTGCTCCACTTCCAATCCATCTCCCAGCTAATGCACCTGGGAGAGCAGTAGGAGATGGCCCAAGTCCTTGGATCACTGCACCTGCATGGGAGAGCAGAAGGAAGCTCCAGCTGTTGTGGTCATCAGGGAGTGAACCAGTGGATGGAAAACCTCTCTCCACCTCTGCCTCTCTGTAACTCTGCCTTTCAAATAAATAAATAAAGCTTAAAAAAAAAAAAGATAAGAAAGGAAGAGGTAAAAGCTATCTCCATTTGCTGATGTAATATTATCTATAAAAAAAACACTGATGAATCCACTAAAAATTGTTAATGAATTCAGCAAAGTTGCAGAATACCACATCAACATGCAAGATGCCATTTTACTTGTAAATACTAGTAATGAACAAGCCAAAATTGAAATTTCTAAAAAAATTATATATTTAGAACAGAATCAAAATTAATAAAATATTAAGCAATTTTTTAAAAAAGATTTATTTACTTATTTGAAAGGCAGAGTGACTTTTCAAAGGAGAGAGAGAAATCTTTTATCCATTGGTTGACACCCTAATGGCCACAACAGCCAGGTTTGGGACAGGTAGAAGCTGGGGAACAGTAATTCAATCCTGGTCTCCACCACGAGTAGAAGTGGCCCAAGTAATTGGAACATCTTTCAATTCCTCCCCAGGCACATTAGCAGGAAGCTGGATTGGAATTGGAATAGCCAAGACTTGAACTGGCACTCTGATATGGAATGTCACTGTCACAAATGGTGCATTAACTGACTGAGACAATGCTGGCAGCACTTAGTAAAGAATTTAACCAAGAGGTACAAGACATGTACGTTGTAGACTACAAAATACTGCTTAAAGAAATTAAAGAAGATATATATGAAAACATGTACATAAAATAAACCAAAAGACTCAACACTAAAACTATCAATATGTTAACAGCCTACGTATATTTTTTTTTCCAGAAACTAAGCAGCTGATCTTCAATCTTAGAAAAACAAATAACCAACCAAAGAAAAGTTGAAGGACTTACATTTCCTGATTACAAAACGAAATATACAACAGCAAAGTAATCAAAACAGTGTGGTACTAACATAAAGAGAGACAAATAGACCAGTACACTAGAACTGAGTCTGAAATACATCTATAATCAACATATTTTTTAAAGCAGTCCTGAAACTAGTATTCTCATATGTTGCGGGTAGGAACATAAAATGGTATAACCATTTTGAAAAACAGTCTGGCAGTTACTCAAATGTCAAACACAGTACCGTGAGATCTAGCAATTCTTACTCGTAGGAATATCTAGTAGTATACATGCATACACAAAATGTGTACATGGTTGTTTATAACAGCATTAGCTATGAAAGGGCCCCAAATATCCATCAAATACCGATGAATGGATAAACAAAATGAGGTATATCCTTAGATGAAAAATTAATGACATGCTGTTCCTTTGCTCCTCCTACCTTACCCTTTGTCTGAGCAATGTTCTTAAACTGGGCAAGAATCGATGCCAGATGAATATACTACCCCAGCATCCCAGCCTGAGAAAGGGCAATTTTTCACACAGCGCTTTCTCATACCCACTGTATGGAATTCATTTTCCTTTTCTCAGAGGAGGGAAATTATAATTTAAGACTCTTTGGGGAACTTTTCAATGATGGAGATTTTCTCTGAGTAGATTTTGTCCCTTCCCTGTTTTCTACTCCCACCTTTTTCTCTTTTAGAGGTTGTCTTACTATTCGTCTTTTTCTGAACAAGTCATGTTACCTTCACCTCAAAAATTTGCCCTTGATTGTTTCAGGTCACAGTCATCTTTGATGAAGATTTTCCAATTTGGAAATTTCCTATTTCCTCTTTGGGGACTCCTTTTCTCAGTCTTTATTTTCTCATAAACCTATCCACAAAAGCATTACTTAAGCTGTATTATAATTTTGATTATCAACAATAGGCATATACAACACACACACACACACTTACATAACCTAAGGAAATTATAAATTCAAGGGCAGTAATTGAGTCTTGCTCTTCTTTGTAATCCCAGCACCTAATAAACAGTAACTGTTTAATAAATTATTTCTTAAATCATGAAAAAAAATCCTATCAGAAGCCAAATATATGTTAACATTTCTTGAGTCCTATCCAGATCTTCTTATGAACAAGACAGTGGGTCAACAATTTGTATGCACTACCTCTCTGAACCTTCCTAAAACTTTGGAAGGTAGGTTCAGTTAATCTCAGGGTAGACTGGCACTAAAAGGAAACAGAAGACCATCTTTTCATAACATTAAATGTGTGTACCACTTACTTAGAAGGGGTAAGTTAATTCTGCCCAAGGGTGGCCAGAATGATTTGGTAAGTGATACTAAATTTGGGACCTGTAGTAAAATTATGTTGAGGGAAGTAGATGGTTATGGCAGGAGACATTGTACTGGAGACAGCACACATGTAGAGCCTAGGGGACCTAAAGAAACACAGCATATCCTGAAAAGGAAATAATTCAGTGAGCTGCAACAAAAGATATAAAGGTTAAAGTAATGACTGAAGAGGTTGGAGGTCTAAATTGAAGATGAAGTCTAGCTCGGAGGCTAGACTGAAATTAGGATCTCACGTTAAAGATCAAAGTACATTCTTGAAGGATTTGAATTATGGTAGTGACATAACTAGATTTACATTTGGGAACAACTGAGCAACAGACAGAATATGGACAAGATATAAAAGAAAAAGCCAGACTCAGATTAACTGAGGAGACTACTTACTGTAATTCTTTAGTCAAGAAATGAGTTAAAGCAGCAGTAATATGCATAATGTGAAGACAGAACAGAACAGATCTAAAGGTTAGAAAACAACAAAATTCTAAAGGATTTGGAAATGGGCTGAGTATGGAAGTAAAGTAAAGGGTGGCAGAAGGCTAATATATTTCGAATTTCGGAACTGGGGAAAGCAGGGATGACACCATCCAAAAAAGTAAGTTAAGAATTGTTAATAAGTGCTGAATTTGATGGATCCTTGGGATTTACTGATAAACACTCAGGCTAGGAAGTAAACATATGCTTAAATATCAAATTATTTTGGTGTGTTTATGTGGACTTTTCAGCCAATGATAGTCTTTGAAGATCTTCTAGTTTATCTCATTTTCAACTTTACTAGCATATAGTGAGCCCTCATTAAAACCACAAGCTCTGGTAAGCTGATTTGATTTGAATGGACTATGATTGTTTACATAAATTAAGATGCAATTTTATTATATATTCTAGAACCAGGAGCATAAGTCTTCAAAATTTCTACATACAATGAACCCAAATATGCTTAATAGCATAAAGGCAATGAGGAAAAAAGAAATGACATCTAAGGAATGCCCTTGAGACAGCCACCGAACACCAGACCCTTAATTTAATTATCTGTAGAAAAGGATCACAAGATGTATCATCCAGATAAAGATTAAATGCCACACATACACACACACACAGCGTCTTTAACTATACTGGGCACAAAGTGGGTAAGTTAGTATCTCTCTTTCCTTCATGTAGCCTTCAGTACCAGGTGGGGGTGAAGGAATCTATTCATTTAGCTATCCATATTTAATCCTGTTTTTAAAATGAACAGTTTGGACACTGAATTTTAAAGTCACTTTCAAGAGTTAGTAAAGCATAGTGAGTGGTTAAGAAGTAAAGTACTAAAATTAAATCCAGTTCAAAATTTACTATTTGTTTAATTTTAGTTGAATTAATTCACCTAAATAAGTTTTCTCTCATTTGTTAAATGGAAAAAAAAAATTGTACTAAATTTGAAGGTGACTGTGGATTAAATGACAGAACACATTTGTGAAGTATGTATTTATTATGTACCTAGAGTGCTAATAAAAGAGTTAGCTGCTATTGCAGTCATTATGCTCCATTTTGTAAAATATCAAAATATAATGTGCCTCTATTGCAAAGGTAAAACATTAGACTTGTTTGTGTATTTGCATGAAAGTATTTACCCTTTAGGAACACATGAGGAGAAAAGTCAAAGGGAACCAAGAAATAATTCAACAGCCACCAAAAAGTATACCCCCAAAGTTGCATCATCTTCCAGTAAAACAAATGAATTTTCAGTCAGAAATAAGAGATAGTGGTAAAATAAATTTTAATATTTGTAGAATAACTATCTAACCTATTATTTTTATATAAATTTAGATGACTACAGGAGAAATAAAAACTTTATAGAGTATTTTTATGTATTTTGCCAGATATAAGAACCTTGGGAATAACCTATTTCACATGGCAATATTTACTGAACTAATTTTGTTTTTAGGAAAAAAATACACAGATTAACATTAAGCGTTTTTATTATACAAATGAATATAACAGAAGCAAGTATTTTCCCACACAGAAAATGTATTTCTAACTTACCCACTCATCATCTTATAACATGAATTTCCCCTTAGCAATAAATGTTCTTTAGTGAGCCACTCATATTATTTAATCTGATTTATTTTAGCCCCCCCAAAACATGTCTGATGAAAAAGGTGACTAAAATAGCTGGAATAATCTTTGAATAGACAATTCGTTATTCTGTGTTTAAAAAAGTAATTCATAAGAAAAGTGGACTTATAATCAATCTCTCAGTGCCATGGTACAATAGTATTATTCTCAATATTAAATTATTTAGTTCCATGGGCATACTATCATTTCAATAATTTGAAATGACGTAATGGCATGTCCCTACGGAAGTGAAATTCAATTCTGAATTATCTGTGAAGTAAACTAGCAAAAATAAGTTAAGATTGCTCTAGGAGAAAGATGTATGTAAAAACAAACAAAAAGTATTATTTTAACATGGGGCATGCAATTAATAATTTAATGAATGTGTAAACACAATGAAGATGTAATTGTGTTACCAAAACTAATGCTGGAGTTGGAAAAATGAAGCAACAACAACATAAAAAGCTGGTTGTATTTTAAAAAACTATCACTGTAATTTACAACAATGATCATACTTGTGAATTTCAATAACTATTATGAATACTATGAAATATATATATCAAACCAACACTTTTATTTAAGTAGACCACAGAAATATAGAATTAAGAGAATCAGACAGCTGGACATTCCACACTACATATTCCATATACTATACAAGCTTAGAATTAATGGATATGACTTTGCTCATCATTTTGAAGAACTAAAGAATGGATAGGCTTTTGACCTTTTTCCCCTTGGGGTGCCCACATCCTATATTAGAGGGCCTGGTTTCATGTTCCAACTCTGTTCCCAATTCCAGCTTCCTGCTGATATGCACCCTGGGAGGTAGCAGGTAATGGTTCAAGCAATTAGGTTCCTTACATCCAAGTGGGAGTTGGCAATTCTGGCTTTATCCTGGTTCACCCCTGATAACTGGGCATTTGAGAGGTGAATCAGTGGATAGATGATCTCTCTTGAGTTCCTTTATCTTTCAAATAAATAAAAAACCTCTCGAGTCTTTCTTACAAATTAAAAACTAAATTGGATATTATCTGCCAATAAGGTGCTTTGAATATTAAACATCAAAGTAGACAATACTGTAGTATTATAGACCACTGCATTCCCAAACACATTTGTCTCAAACAAAATAATAGAAGAAACATAACTGACAGGCCAGCACTCTTGTACTTAATTGATACCCATTATTAATGTCATTTTAATATATAACTCTTTGTACTACAGTACATTATTCCATGCACTGTTTTCATAGAGATGCTTCAAACTACTCTCAAAAAAATTAAACTATATACAGTAGTAATTTACTTAATAAGATGAATATATTCAGAAGTGAGATATAAATGAAGTTTCTACATGCAGAATAATTTTCCATTAGTTCATAATTAAAATTTCAGAAATGATTTTTTTCTTATTTCTGATTACTATTCAAGCAGCAGTGACTTCTGACATTTTCACATAGTTTTTGTGTGTCTATTTTAGCCCAGGGAAGGAAGCAATTTTACAAACAGGTATACCAGAAGAGCTTTCTATTTAAAGGAATTCTTCAGTGAAAACTTTTCACCACCTATTTTGTAGATACTGTATGATCTATTTTTCATGTAACAAATTTCTTAAAAAATGGCACCACAATAAAGTAAAAACAGTATGTGTTCCTTTGAGACAAAACCACATGTACATGAGAAAAAATTACATTTAAAACACACAGGAGATATTATACTATAACTATGACACAAAATTATGAAGGGGGATACTTAAAGGTTTTTCTTCTAAATTAAAGTATGTTTATATCACTGTAATACATCCAGAAAAAGACAACGGTTTTTTGGATGACTGTTTCTAAGGTTGTAAAGCAGAATTCTCAGTTTTTGAACTCCCAGCTATTATTTTTGACTATAGTCTGTTGCATTATCTTTCTCCTTTGCCATATGCATTGTAGGTGGGATGTTTCCTGTTGTTACTATGTCTAGCATTGCAGACTCAACTTTCATACTGTTTATTTGCTTTTCATACTTATGAACCTATAATTGTATTTTGCCCCAAGTCAAAGTAAGTTGCTAGGATGGGTAATTTTGCTATTTAATATTCTTTTTTTTATGGAAACAAGAAACCAACTTTTATTAATCTAGACAAACAGTAAGACCAAAAACCAAATAAAGAATATAATGGAAATAAGGTAAAATCACTTTACTTACAAAACTTCATCTCTATCCATTAGTTTAGTCAAAACCTTAAACATGATTATAGTTTTTCTGATTTATTATGAACTCTTTTCTTATCAGACATATCAAGGGTTGCTCTATAGTAACAGAATTTTAAAACAGTAGCAGATCAAAATGATCCCAGGAAAAAAGATGTCCTTAATGTCCGGGATTCCTCATTTTTCTTTTTTTTTTTTCTTTTTTTTTTTTTTTTTTTTTACAGGCAGAGTGGATAGTGAGAGAGACAGAGAGAAAGGTCTTCCTTTGCCGTTGGTTCACCCGCCAATGGTCGCCATGGCTGGCGTGCTGTGGCCAGCGCACAGCGCTGATCCGAAGGCAGGAGCCAGGTGCTTCTCCTGGTCTCCCATGGGGTGCAGGGCCCAAGCACTTGGGCCATCCTCCACTGCACTCCCTGGCCACAGCAGAGAGCTGGCCTGGAAGAGGGGCAACCAGGACAGAATCCGGCGCCCCAACCGGGACAGAACCCAGTGTGCCGGCGCCGCTAGTTGGAGGATTAGCCTACTGAGCCATGGTGCCGGCCATCCTCCTTTTTCTTATTTCTAGCAATAGACAGACAGTAACTTAGTAAGTTCATGATAATTAAACAAAACACTATTTTCTTAGGAAAAACACTATAAAACCCAGAGCAGTTTTGTAGAGATGAGATTTAGGTGTCATGGCACCAGCATACTGGCTTCCAAGAGAACATTCTTGTAAAATTCTGTGTAAGTATGGACTTAGCAAAGATCCTGAAAAGCATAGTAAATGCTAAAGTAGAGGGAAAGAAATTAAAATAAAATAGACACTGAAAAAAGTTTAGAAAGTCTGACTCTTCATATGATAATTGAGTATATTCAAGCTCAAAGTGGTTTTACAGTAACCTTACCTGAAATTCCTGTCTTAGATTCCCGGTTTATTTCACACAGTAAATATAAGTAGATTAGGAAGCTAGTAACCTCATACCCAGACACATTACTAGCTATATGACCCTGGACAACCCACTGACCTTTACTAGGTCTCTTATTTCCTCAACAAAATTGAAAGAATAAAAAAATTATATGCCTTTTTTATTACCACTGAGAAATGTCTGTCTTACAACTCAACCTACATCCATTTCTCTCTTGCTCTCTCTTTTTTTGGCACCTGAAAGAACTGTTCATGCTTTTGTAATGTATATCACTCTTAAAAGTATTTCTGTATTACTGGTCTTCACTGTAGAGACTAAAAAACTGCATGACCCTTCCCTGTTTTATTCATTGCTGAATACCAGGTAACAAAAGTTAATTAATTTCTCTTGACTGAGTAATTCAATGAATATTTATATTTTATATCAGTATGAAAAGCTCGAGATTGCTTCTCCAGTCCTAGGACTCTCTTTTGCTAACTCTATTTATAATATGAATCATGTAGAACAGTATTTTTTTTACTTTGAGAAAAATTTGTGCCCATGAAAAAATTACTATTCTTTTTGTCTCTTAGCAGTTGATGTTAGCCTTAATAGCCTAAAATGTCTATAATTTACTCAGTTTAAGAGAATAATCCTTTGCAAAAGCCAAAGCTTTCAAAGGCATATTTAAACAAACTTGACATCTTTAAGCAGAAATTCAAGGTGGTTTAATCATATCAGGACTTATAAAATAAACTTCAAACTGGAATTTTGGGTGATTAGGTTTCCTGAATCTATGCAATCTGATCAATAGAAAGAACTGAAAACACAAAAAATATTTTAAAAAATTTTGGACAATTTCTTTATAACATTTGAATATTATTTCATCTGAAAAATTGGAGGGACACTGTGAATATGAAACCAGTCAATACCTTGCTATTTTAAAGAATTATAGAGTTATATTTGTTTTCTTTTCTAGAATAAAAGTGGCCTTTATGTGGAAATCTCCATATATGCAGACAATATTCAGAGCAGAATATTAAATTTAATATTAAATTATTTAAAAATTAAAATTTAAATTTTTGAATTTAAAATTAAAAAAATAATTAAATATTTAATTAATAAGGTTTTTATTTTTAATTAGAAAATTCAGTCTGCCTTTACATAAAACCTTTATTTTGGTTACAACTGTCAACATGAAGTAAAAATCTGAAATTAAATATATTTATCTAAACAATCATTTACAATTCTCTCTGAAAGAGATGATTCTGAATTTTTTGATTGTCATCATTTATTACTTTCTGAATTTAACCTGTGAGAAGAAAGTTAATCACTTTTTTAAACTTACAGATACTAGGATATATTCTAAATAAGAATAAACACCTATTTAAAATGTTCTTTAAGAAATGTTAATAGGGGCCAGCACTGTGGTATAGTGGATAGAGGCACTACCTGCAGTGCCAACATCTCATATGGCCTTCAGTTTGAGTCCCAGCTGCTCTACTTCCCATCCAGCTCTCTGCTATGACCTGGGAAAGCAGTAGTAGATGGCCCAAGTTCTTGGGCCCCTGCACCCACGTGAGAGACCTGGAAGAAGCTCCTGGCTCTTGGCTTCAGATCAGCAGAGCTCCAGCTGTTTCGGCCAACTGGGGAGTGAACCAACGGATGGAAAATACCTCTCTCTCTCTCTCTCTCTATCTCTCTCTGCCTCTCCTTCTCTCTATAACTCTGACTTTCAAGTAAATAAATAAATCTTTAAAAAATGCTAATAAAAACAGATACTATACACCTTATAAATCTAGTGCTTTCCAAATTTCAATGTGCATATTCCTTTACACTTCAGAGTCTGTTCAGAGAAACAAAACAGAAAGAATCATAAAATTTCTAGGATGGTTCCAAAAGCAATACTGAAAAATAAATTAATGCTAGTGATATCTTATATCTTATAAACAAGTAAACAAATAACTACAATTCCGTAGTTATTATTTTTAGATATGAATCTTTGATAATCTGTTTTCAAAGCTTGATATGCTATACCTGAGAATGTCAGAAAGTTACATTCAAGATCACTTGATGAACAATGTTCAATATTCAATGGGTTGCGTTGGTACAACTGATTTAACAACAGTAATGTGACATACCCTGTCAACGTAATTAATACTTGTATATACATTCTTTCATACAATTTAATATATCTTTGTGCTACTGTTCTTACTGAAAGTGATTTAATCTATTTTTATAATGACTTTTATATATTTTGGGTACTTCTTTAACCTCTAGTTAATAATTAGGCTATTAATTACTTAATACAAATAGAAACTGTGGTCCAAAGAGCCTTAAAACTGAACATCAACATAAAATCAAGACAATTTTATTGAAACAAGAATTAAAAATTATATTTCTTCAATTTTATATTTAGAAGTTACTATTCCAAGGAGAGGGAGATGTTTAATGCAGGCATTATGATGCCCACCTGGGCATCCTATTGGGAGTGCCTGGGTTCATGTTCCAGTTCCACTTCTGATTTCAGCTTGTGGGGAATGCACACCATGGAAAGGCCTAGGTAATGGCTCAAGTACTTGGGGCCCTGCTACCCACGTGGGAGACCTGGATTGAGTTCTGGCCTCCTATCTTCAGCTTGGCTCAACCCCAGCTGCTGTGGTGTCTGGGAAGTGAACCAATAAATACAAGATCTCCTCTCTTTCAAATAAATAAAAATAAATAATATCTTTCAAGATGTACCATTTTAAATGATTTACATCAGTATTCACATACACAAGGCTAGTATCATGGTCTGGAAAAGTTAACTTAGTAATTTATAATCACTTATGACTTTAAGAATTACTCTAAACATAACAAAAATTGTAGCATTTGTAATGCTATTATTTTGTAATTCTACTTTTCATACCAATAAATGAAAGAACTTTATAAAATGTACTCAAGGGCTGGCGCCATGGCTCACTTGGCTAATCCTCTGCCTGCGGTGCCAGCATCCCTAATGGGCACCGGGTTCTAGTCCCAGTTGCTCCTCTTCCAGTCCAGCTCTCTGCTGTGGCCCTGGAGAGCAGTGGAGGATGGCACAAGTGCTTGGACCCTGCACCCACATGGGAGACCAGGAAGAAGCACCTGGCTCCTGGCTTCAGATCGGCACAGCTCCGGTAGCGGCATTTGGGGAGTGAACCAATGGAAGGAAGACCTTTCTCTCTGTCTCTCTCTCTCACTGTCTATAACTCTAAAAAAAAAAAAAAAAAAGTACTCAAATAACTGAGACACATGAGTACACTCTAAAGTATTCATGAAGATGGAATTAAAATCTAAGTTTATTTAGGTGCAAAAAAATACTGATCCATGCATATGGGCGATTTTCAAAAAAGTTCACAGAAAATGTCTATCATGGAAACTTTATGCCTGGATTTCAGAATTCTTTTGCATCAAAATAATTTATCTTCCAATTATAGTTTTCCATGAAGTTTTTGAGGTCACCCATATACTCTATATTCCCAAATATTAAATTTGTGAACGTGATGCTTTCTACTCTCTCTTTACCTTGATGTGCTCTAGATATCATAATATACCATATATCCAGGTTCCACTTGAGGGTCTTCTGAAGTTTCCCTACTGAATGTGAACCTTTTAAAATCTTTGGTTATGAAACTCACTATTAGAGTGCACTTGAAGGCTTTTTGTCTTCATTATTCATAGTTTAGTCAGTCATATCCACAGCATTCTGCATTCTCTTTTGAACATAAGAGATATCATCTTTAATCCCTATCTTCCTTTTATTTTTTAATTTCTACCAGATTACATTTAGGGTACTATGTGATAACCACTAGTTTCCAATGTTGTCCTATCCAAAGTTAATAGGGTATTTTGGAGATCTGACACTATCACTACAATTCTACAAGAAAACATGTAATGAGTTTTAAATTGAAATAAAAATGAAGTCTTGTAACATAACTTTTTCATATCTAATAGAAAGCTCTCTCCATTGAGAAAGAAGAATTTCAGTGAAAATATAAATTCAACCCTGAGAATAAAGAAAAGGTAGGCCTACAATGTCCTACAGTTTCGCTGTTATTGAACTCCTTAATATCTTTCTCCATGTATCCTGTTGCTTTAAACTTCTAACTCTGTTTAACATTAGGTAACAGGGTACTTCCTACTTTCAGGATCTTTATACATGCTACTCCTTCTTTCCAGAAAGCTCTTTTCTTCATCTTAATCAAGTCAACACTTACTCATTAAATTATCAGCCAAATAAACACTTAAAAAATTTCATTTGATCTCAATGAAAGGCTAAACTCTTCTTATAAAACCCACATATTGAGCCAGCGCCGTGGCTCGATAGGCTAATCCTCCACCTTGCGGCGCCGGCACACCGGGTTCTAGTCCCGGTTGGGGCGCCGGATTCTGTCCCTGTTGCCCCTCTTCCAGGCCAGCTCTCTGCTATGGCCAGGGAGTGCAGTGGAGGATGGCCCAGGTGCTTGGGCCCTGCACCCCATGGGAGACCAGGAAAAGCACCTGGATCCTGGCTCCTGCCATCGGATCAGCGCGGTGCGCCGGCTGCAGCGGCGGCCATTGGAGGGTGAACCAACGGCAAAGGAAGACCTTTCTCTGTCTGTCTCTCTCTCTCTCACTGTCCACTCTGCCTGTCAAAAATTAAAAAAAAAAAAAAAAAAACATATTAAATATCACGTACCTCTCTCTCTACAACAACTGAAATAGTTCCAACTTCGTATTTAATTGTATGATTTTTTGATTAACACAAGTACCTTTTCTATCTCTATGACATACGTTCCAGAAGACCAAGACCCAGATCTATTTTTGCTCATTAGCACTAAGAACAAATAATCATCATATTCATACTTGTTGAAGAAAGACACTGGCAAACCATCAGTAAAAGAGAGGTAACAAACACTGAGTCAATGGTAACCATAAAGTTTTGAAAGAAAAATCACTATAACTGTTCACCTGAAAACAAAACAAAACACAGAGCCATATATGGTAGAACTGTTTAAACTTGCCAGTTTACAAAAAAAAAAAAATAATGTTCAGAGGTAGATGGAATTGTGCTTTACATGATAGGGCTAACAGGAAAGAAATAAGATGCTGACAACTTATAACATAAATGGAAAAAATATAAGCTATATCTTTTTTCTACTTTTGGCATTTATTTATGTATAAGATTTATAGCTTTAATTGCATATTATTTACTACTGATCCCAGGAACAACCTGGGAATGAATTTTAATTATAAAAGGAAAAACAACCTCAGCTGATATTCTTGCATAATATTTTGCTATTTTAACTAGTGTTTCATTTCTAACTCATATTTTGAATACTTATTTCAGACTTCAGTGGATTTTCTAGTCATAATTGCAAAGAAAAACTCATTTCCTAATGTTTTATGCAAGTTATTTCCCAATTTTTTCTTCTTCTTTCTTTTGACCTAATTCTGAAAAATAAATTTTTTTTACATAAACATAAAGGTACATACATGCAACTACTTCCCTAATTTAGCACCTATTCTGAATTTTAATTCCAGCTTTCAAATTAATAAAAATAAGATTCTCAATTCCTTGACCCATTGGAAGTTTTATCTGTACTTGAATACCATGTTCTGTGATCTCTCCAAGTATCTCTCCTCTACCCAAATCTTGATTAGCTCTACAGAATCTAATTGCTTCTTTACTAGGCATATTTGCATACTCAGTTTGATGTTACCTTACAAAGGTTCCTAAAGTGTTTTTCAAGTACATGTTTTAGTCACACAAGAAAACTATTTAGTCTTCAAAGCTGTTTTATTTTTGTCCTCCATCTAAACCAGTACCTGAATATAGAAAACATTACAGAATGTTAAGTGACTGTACCATCTGTACTTTGAGTGAACATATAATTTGGATCACTGATTAAAATAACAAAAGTTCACCTTAGACCCATATATTATACGTCGTTTAAGACTGAGACTGACTGTGTATCACTTCATAGCTGACATCCTTCAACACCATCAGCACTCCAGTCTCCATTTTCTCAGGCTACTGAGAGGTGCATTTCTCACTAAGAAGCAAAATATTTAAAAAGTCAGGACAGATTATTTCCATTGTTCCTTTCTCAACTGAGTAGGCTTTTTACACTGTTAGAAAAGATAAAATCAGTCTCAGACTTTATTACACATCAAGTTATAACAATTGTCAGCAACTACTAAAGTCTAACCAAGGTATTCAAGGAATATATTCATGTGACTATTTGGCTAGAACTGTAATTAACTTGGGTCTTTTTTTTCCCCCTCATTCCTTTAACACATAAGTATATTTTCATCACATAATTATTATATGAATATAATCTATTATTTAAAAAAAACAAGTAGTACTGAAATATATACAGCAAGGTTATACATATAATAGGTTATTATTGAACATATATATATATATATGAACAATAAGTTCATCCTTACCCTTTCAGCACAATTTCTGTATATCAAGGAAATAATTTGATATATATCTTCCAGTCATTTTCTTAGTGTATTTCTAGTTCATAGAAAATAGAATTGAGAAACAAGTTTATTTTGGTTCAAAAGAAGTTGTGAAAATAATGCAGTTTTTTCATAGTAGAAATCTTTCATGTGTTTTCTCAAAACTCCATGTATGCATGGATTTCAAAATTTTTTTGCACTAAATAAACTTAAAATTCATTCCATATTCCATGAATTTTTTGAACTATATTTTTATATGGTATATATTTTATGGATATATGGTATGTATAGTAAAAACATGTATTATATCCCACATAAACATACAAGGGGTCTTCAAAATATACATGGAAAACAAGTATTTTGAAAAAACTACATGGATTTCAAAATTTTTGAAAAGTTCATGGAAAGCTGAATTAAAATGTAAATTATTTTGGTAAAAAATTTTGAAATCCATGTATACTATTCTTAAACATTACATGTGTATTATTACACACTTTTTTTACATAATTTGGTTTACACTATTCCATTTATTCTATCATTTTCTTTCCACTTAGCTTATTATAGAGGTCTTCCCATTTACTTAACTTACAAATCTAAATTTTACATGGTTGTTTTTAGTTCGTATCCTCACATACCACTGGTAGTTATTTAATTTTCTTATATTATTCCTAAATAAATCTCTTGTTTCTTTCAGTGGTCAGGAAAATGAGTCATGTAAACCTTTACACTGTATTATTCACTGCATTATTTCTTAATTAAAAGTGTGCTAGTGGCAATTAATTTGATACAGTCTAATTTTCCATCTTTTCTGAATATTTTTATACCTGCTATAAACTTAGTATTTAATGAAAATATGTATACATAAAGAATGGATGCATTTTGTCTATATCTGCTATAAACTTAGACTCCAATAAAAATGTACATACATACCTAAATAACATATACATTTTACCAATCAATATCTAAAATTAAAGAATACATTCAAGTTTTACAGAAAAGAAAGATGTATATAGCAAATATGCCTATTAATTAGAAAAACACACTTAGAACTCAAATAATTTTTTAACTGGCAAAGGTTAGCGGCAAAAAATAAAAAGCTGCTAAAGAAATGTTTTAAAGACTTCTTGATAACCTTTAAAACAATTTAACACTATGCTTAAAACATAAAAACTGGCCGGCGCCGCGGCTCACTAGGCTAATCCTCCGCCTTGCGGCGCCGGCACATCAGGTTCTAGTCCCAGTTGGGGCACCGGATTCTGTCCCAGTTGCCCCTCTTCCAGGCCAGCTCTCTGCTGTGGCCAGGGAGTGCAGTGGAGGATGGCCCAAGTGCTTGGGCCCTGCACCCCATGGGAGACCAGGAGAAGCACCTGGCTCCTGCCATCGGATCAGTGCGTTGCGCCGGCCGCAGCGCGCTGGCCGCGGTGGCCATTGGAGGGTGAACCAACGGCAAAGGAAGACCTTTCTCTCTGTCTCTCTCACTGTCCACTCTGCCTGTCAAAAAAAAAGAAAAAAAAAAAAAACTACAAACAGCAAGAGCAGTAACACAGAAAAGCAACGTAAGATTAAATTTAAGTATTACCTACATTCCTTTCACATCTAAGAGTAATGTACTAATAGCAATATACTGTTATGTTTTTATGCTGTAGTTTTCCAACCAACTGGATTGCAAAGTTACATCTGTCATAGACTGTATCAGGGCCAGTCCTGTGGTATAGCAAATAAAACTGCTACCTGTAACACGGGAATCCCATATGAACACCAGTTTGAGACACTGCTGCTCCTCTTCTGACCCAGTTCACTGCTAATGTAACTGGGAAATGCAGCAGAGGATGGCTAAAGTACTTGGGCCCTTATACTCACATGGGAGACCTAGAAGAGGCTCAATCTCCTGGCTTCAGCCTGGCACAGCCCTGACCTTTGCAGCCATTTGCAGAGTGAATCAGTGGATGAAAGATCTCTCTCTCTCTGTAACTCTGCTTTTCAAATAAATAAAAAACAAATCTTTAAAAAAAAGAATATATTAATTTTAAAACAACTAAGATGGACTTCTTAAACTGAGATATATGCATTAATATAAGTTGTTAAGACTTCTATTATCCAAACAAATTGTTAAATCAAAATACTTTATTACTTCTGGTAGAAAAGCAAGCTTCCTTTTACACATCTATGAAAGAATTCAATGCTAACATTTCATAAGAGAAATATTCTCAAGAAGTGGTAGAATTAGGAAAGTCTAGTGATGCTTGTAGCTGGTATGAGTTTCTTGATATATAGTAGGCTTAATACTGTAGCTTTAATTGAAGTTTGAATATTGTAAACAGTTAGACGTCTGGCTCTGGCCTGCATTCTAATACCATCAGCAGAACAGGGATGGAAGCATAAACAAACCTTTTAACTAGATTACAGTCTCTAAAATGACCAAGAAATCCTTCAGCACAAACTCCAGTATAATAAATGTGGAAGGAAGAAAATGATTTCAGAACAATGCTTTAAAAATAACATTAAATTTCTGTTATTAAGGATGATTTTCTACATATTCTGATATTCTGATGCCATTTAATATTAATGATAAATTTTACATTTAACTTGCAAACAGAATTCCTTTTATTCTTACTCAGTAGCTGTGTTTTACATTGATATATCTTTTTTTTTTTTTAAGATTTATTTATTTTATTTGAAAGTCAGAGTTACACAGAGAGAGGAGTAGCAGAGAGAGAGAGGTCTTCCATCCGCTGGTTCACTCCTCAATTGGTCGCAACAGTCAGAGCTGTGCAAATCCAAAGCCAGAAGCCAGGAGCCTCCTCAGGATCCCCCACATGGGTGCAGGGGCCCAAGGACTTAGGCCATCTTCCACTGCTTTCCCAGGCCATCAGCAGGGAGCTGGATCGGAAGTTGAGCACCGGGATTCGAACCTGGTGCCCATATGGGTTACTGGCACTGCAGGCAGTGGCTTTACCTGCTTTGCAACAGCACTGGCCGCCCCGTTTCCCCCAATTATTGTTACATACAGTTTGAATTATTCTTTTTAGATGCTAATATTAAAAATGTACAGATTAGGTTAATTAACGGCCAACAGATTAGTAGATACTTCACAATGTGTGTTAAAAAATAGCTGTGAATATAAGAGTGAAACTAAATAGAATTTGGCACTTAATCTTAAAACATATTTTAGGTTTACTCCTAACTTGAGATAGAGTCACTAAATTAAAAAACAAATGTAGTACAGGAATATAAGTTTTAACATTAACACCTCACAGAAAAATTTCTTCTTAATGCTGGATTTTTGGTTGGTTGGCAAAAACAAACCAAACCAAAAATAAAAAAAAACTCAGTAAAACACAAATGTACAAATAATTGTTCTCCATTGTAGAATTGCTGACTAACTTACAAAACTTACCTGAGTCCTTCAAAACAGTATGTTCTAACAACTTACTCAGTATAACAAAAGTTAATTATAAGTTCTCTAAGAAAGGTTTTATAGGTCAACAGAAATAAAGACTCAAACAAAAATTTGCAACAACTCTGAATAAAGTATAAGTTTTAAACCATGTTCGCTATCATTAGCGATTTTCTTTTCCATTATCTATTATGTACAACTACATTTAGAAGACATATCTAAGTATGTTAACCCTGGATCCTCCTGGTCTCTTTCAGGAGTGATATCGACACATTATAACTTCTGAGATGTTTGAAATGGAAATGCTGAGTAGAATCTTCAGTTTTAATTGACTTAACTTTAAATTATCTACAGAAATTATTTGGGTCCAGAGATAAACTCTATCCTGCTCACTATTCAGATTGTTTTTGTTAGCAAGAAATCATTTGTAAAAAATTTTTGTCTTTGAAATATAATAGTATAATTTATAAAAGTACAATTTCTTTAGCATTTAAAAGTATTTCCAAAATCTGTGGGCCTCCAAGTTTATATGATGATAATCAGTACAAGCATATATAAATGAATGTGTATGTACTTGAGAACATTAAACTTACTTGATAAATAAAATACAAAAACAAATTTTTTTATTTCTCTTTTCTCCTAAAAAACAATGATGTAGACATCAATTCTGATTAGCTGGTTGAAAAACAGATTTTAATTTAGTAGCAATTTTAAGGAACAACTAACTATGGGGCAACTTAGTAATCTAGAGAATTCAACAAGTTGTCCACTCTTTTTTTTTTAAAGACTTATTTATTTATTTAAAAGTCAGAATTAGAGAGAGACAGAGACAGAGACAGAGATCTTCCTTCTGCTGGTTCACTCCCCAGATAGCTGTGAAGGCCATAGCTGGGCCAGGAAGAAGCCAGGAGCCAGAAGCTTCACCTAGTTCTCCCACGAGGGTGCAGGGACTGAAGCAGTTGGGCCATTCTCCACTGCTTTCCCAGGTTCATTACCAGGGAGCTGGATCAGAAGTGGAGCATCCAGGACTCAAACCAGTGCCCATGTGAGATGCTGACACTGCAGATGGCAGCTTAACCTGCTATGCCACAGCACTGGTCCCAAGTTGTTCGTTCTTATGCTAAAAACTATTTCTGGGGGCAAGCATTTAGCCTAGTGGTCAACATGTTAGTTAAGATATCTGTGTTCTGGGACTTGTGCTGTGGCTTAGCAGGTAAAGCCACTGCTTGTGATGCTGGCAATCCCATATGGGCAAGAGTTCACGTCTGAGCTGTTCCACTTCTGTTCCAGCTCCCTGCTACAGGCCTGGGAAAAGCAGCAGAAGAGAGCCCAAGTCTTTGGGTCCCTGAACCCCCGTGGGAGATCCGGGTGAAGCTCCTGGTTCAGTCCTGGCCTTTGTGGAATGAATCAATGAATGGAAGATCTCTCTCTGTCTCTTCCTAGCTCTCCATAACTCTTTCAAATAAATAAATAAGTGAATAAGTATATTTTTAAAAGATCCCTGTCTTTTATATCTGAATCACTGGGTATGATACCTTGGGTCTAGACTGCAGCTTCCTCTAGTGATAGTCCTAATTACTGAGTTTTTGCCTTCCACAAAGGAGACTCGGATTGAGTTCTCAGCCTGGTCTAGTCCCAGCCTGGTCCAGTCCTGGCCATTGTGATCAGAGATAGGAATTTTCTTTTTCTCTGCCTCTCAAATATTTTTTTAATTTTGATTTTCTGTAGTGCTAAAAATATATTAAACTTAATTCTATGTATGTAATATAATATGAGAAGGTTTTATGACAAGAGTCTAGAAGATAATGTGTACAAACACATCAAAGCACTAAACAGAATTCCCTTTTGTTTAGTGATTTTTCACTATCAACACATTTACATAAAAATTTTATAATAAATACTCATTGGGCCATATATTGTTGGATCCTCTAAACTTCATGTAACAGAACACTAAACCCAAATCTTTGCAATTTAAAGGAAATTCAGTATCTAGAAGGCCCAAACGTTATTTTTGTCATATAAAGTGAAGACTGACTTCATGCATACTTTAAGTTGCTGACTTGTCTACACCTACATTTCTTATAAAGACTGGGGATTACTGTTTGTTTTTCTGACTGTAAACCTTCAGAAATTTTCTTAACACGGTATCAATAAGCTATCAGGCCATAGTTTTACTAATGTTTCTCAAGCATAGGTTGACAAATACTCTTTACTATGACTGTGTCTTCAATTAGGAAGTGTCAAAGTTAATGTGTTAAAGTACTTTGCTGCTATATAATGACAAAATGCTGTTGCTTAGTAATCAGTTTCTGAATTTGTAACATGGGGAACATAATGAAAGTTCACAGGAGCACCCTAAGGACTGATTGGAATTGATGGGTAGTATTAAATGAAACTATGACTATAGTTATGACTATTTATAAAATAGAAATTTAGGAATGAATGTGAAAGAGATCAGAATTTACCACTCACAAATCTATTTGTGTTCCTAGTATACCACACTCACACAGCCACCCCTTCCTTTTTAAAAACTGTGAATCAACAGTATCCTAAAAGTTAAGACTTTAAGGAGGACAAATTTAATCCAGTACTTTTTCTCTCAACAAACATTTCTATTACATATGAAAGCCATGGCAAAGACTGAGATAAGATTTTTGAAACATTCATCTACTAAGAAACTTCCAAGTAATTTTCCTAAAGCTGAAGAAACCATACCAAAAATATTTAAAATCACTACAGATTTAGAACTAGTACTGGGAAGTTCTGTGTGAGAATCTTGGAGTAATTTATCCAAAATATAATAAAAACCCCAAAGCTCCTAAGTATTGCGCATTACCGCACAATAATTAAATCATGATGTTAGATTTGCATGATATATAGTAGAAAATATTTTAAAAGTCAAAATCAAAACATATAACGTCTTTCAATTCAACCATATAAGATTACCTGCTATATGAGGTAGGAAATTTACTTTTGAGAAGAAAGTTTAAGTTTGGAGAATTTGCATTTAGTGTTTTCGAAAAAGTAATGAATTAATTTAATAAAGAGTATAAATCATATTCAAATAATGGAATTATATATGGCTAGCAATAAAAATTCAGCAATGATAGCCACATGGACTTTATGGCTGTCCAAAATGAATAAACTCTATATAGAAGACAACCTTAAAATATAGCATTAAGTGGAAAATTTTGAAAAATATTTTTCTAACAAAATGCAGAAATATCCTACTTAACATATATCTTCCCACCTAACAGTATCCATTTAGTTAATATAAAATTCATTTAGCTAAAACACCAGAATAAAGATATGACAAATACACTTACAGACAATTAAGATATTCTTTCACATTAACCTATAACAACCACCCTTGTTTTCAAATACCTAGCACAATGCCTGATAGACATCATAGACTTTTAATGAATAGCTAAATACAATCTGTTTTGCACATACATTCAAAATCCAGACAAGTTTACAAAGGTACATAAGTTGGACAAAGGCTTTCTGGCTGACTTCATGGGGTCCCACTGATGACTAGGAGTAAATCTTCATATCCATAGAAAACTGGAAAGTTGATAACTGTCTGGGTAAGGATCAAAAAAACAAAGTCAGGGAAATGTGTTACCTAAATAACTGTTGCTTTATAGAGATGGTAATATTAGTCTAATCATTCCAATAACCCATTGCACTAGTAACTCAATGAAATGAAATTTCAGTGTACCCTAAACAATTACAAGTATATTTTTAAATGGATTTTCTAAATCATTGCTTATAGAAAATAACTCACTTTTTTATAAATTATATACTGTACAAGGATTACAAAGGAACATGTTTTTACTTCTTACTATGAGTGTTATGTTGTTAACAGTATTTAACTTGGTTGTTAATTAGAAAAAGAGAAAGCTACAGCAGAGATTAAAAAAAAATAAAAGGAAATTCTCATGAAAAGAATTTCATAATAGTGAAAATTATAGCAAGAAGGAAAAGAAAGGAATGCCACAAACAGAAATAAAGAAATTCAAGCACATTAAACTCCAAAACTAGTATGTTTTATGACAAACAACCAGTAAGGCCTACTGTGTACTAGGCTTTGTCCTTAACTAGTTCATGTGGCAAGATTCACAAGTAAATATTTAAAATGCAACTTGAATTCTATTTCTTAATATATGTATATATACATACACACACACACAGACACACACACACACACACACACATATATATATATATCCTTAACACAAGACTAGTAAGTAAATTGAAGCACAGGGAGAAACATAAGCATTAGAGAAAGTTAAAATAATTTTTAAAATAGAACCATTAATAGTGAGTGAAATTATTACTTTTTAAAAAATCAGTGAAAATTACTGAATTATAGGCAGGCTTATGGCTTCAAAGCTATTTACCTTAATATTCTTCCACATAAAGCCCTAAAATGCTTGGGCCGGTGCCGTGGCTCAATAGGCTAATCCTCCACCTTGCGGCGCCGGCACACCGGGTTCTAGTCCCGGTCGGGGCGCCAGATTCTGTCCCGGTTGCCCCTTTTCCAGGCCAGCTCTCTGCTGCGGCCAGGGAGTGCAGTGGAGGATGGCCCAAGTCCTTGGTCCCTGCACCCCATGGGAAACCAGGAGAAGCACATGGCTCCTGCCATCGGATAAGCGCGGTGCGCCGGCTGTGGCGGCCACTGGAGGGTGAACCAAAGGCAAAGGAAGACCTTTCTCTCTGTCTCTCTCTCTCACTGTCCACTCTGCCTGTCAAAAAAAAAAAAGCCCTAAAATGCTATACACAGAAATCATACATGCTAGTTTTAAGCCTGACAAAGTAAATTGAGGTAGTGCAGCATAGTGTCAAGAGACCTGAATCCTCCAGACCTCCTCTGCCTACTTGCAGGCCTTGCAACCTTGGGGAAGTTCTTCAAGCTCCCTGAACTTCAGCAGTATGCAACATGAAGAGGTGGATAGGGGTAGGCATTTGGCCCAGCAGCTAAGATTTCACTTCGGACACCTGCATCCAGTACTGATGTGCATGGATTCCAGTCCTGGCTCCACTTCAGATTCTAGCTTCCTGCTAATGCACACTCTGGGAAGCAGCCAATGATGTCTCAAGAAGTAGGGTCCTGGCCACCCACATGGGAGCCTAGATTGAAGTCCAGGCTCCTGGCATTGTTTTGGCCCAGTCCTGCCATTATAGGAATCTGGGAAGTAAATCAGTGCATGCAAGATGTCCCCCCTCCGCCTCTCTGCCTTTCAAATATAAATAAATAAATAAATAAATATTTAAAAAGAGCTGGGTCCATCTGACTTCTAAGATATCACCTAGTTGAAAAATCACCACACCAAAAATCCAGGTTTTAGTGCTTAAAAAATTAGCTGTAATAAAAAATATAATAAAAAGTTTCCAGCATAAATCATTATTCAATTTGGATAAAGTCTAGAATCTTCCAACAATCATAAAGGGTCATCTGGGGGAGCGGAGAAGGATAAGAAATGTTTTCAAAGAAAAACAGAAACAAAATAAGTAAAGGTATTTGAGTAAATTTTTATTCAGCTGCCTGCTGGGCAACTACCACTTCAATTATCTATACAATTCACTTACTTAAAATGTATTCTTCACTAAGTTCTACTTTCTATCTCTTATGTTAGGGTTAGAGGATAAGAAATCCTAGGTGGCCTGGAATAGTAGTATTGATGTTGGGAGAAAAATTTGAGCTGGCACAAATTTCCATTTAAGCATACCAATTATATCTCACAGTAAGGGAAGAAACTGTTCAAATTTCTAACAGAAAGAGGGAAATAAAGCCATAGTATTTATTGCTACACAGCTTTTTTCCTCCTGTGTGTAAATGTCTACTTTTGCACACAGTTTGTAATTAAAATTTTCCAGAACACGTTTCCACATATGCAATGCTTTTCTGTTATTAAAATGAGTATGTTATATCTTTCCTTTACCATGAGGAAAGTAAAAAAATTAAAAGTATTATCATGCCCTTATAATATTTGTCAAATATCTTTCTAGATTTATATTTCTTCAATCCTTTCTAGCTGATCAAATTGCTGTTTTCATATTGCCAGTCTGATCGCAAAATTGCTGCTTTACAGAGGAATATTTTTTGCTGACATAAATTATGGGATCAGAGATACCAATGCAGTTACAAAAAAAAAAAAAAAAGAGGGAGGGAGAGAAAGAGAGAGAAAAAAACGAGAGGTGGGGGAGAGGGAGAGAGAGAATGAATGTGTGCATCCATCTTCAAGGAAAAGATCAAGAAATATATGTATGAAACAAAATGCTAGTTTCCAATGTAAGCTCTGGTAAAAAGCCTACACCAGATAAAAATACTTTCCAGCATTTCTGAAATAAAATACAGCACTGAATGAAATTTGTTCACTAAGAACATACCATGTAAAAATGAACAGTGATTTTTATCAAAATTGCTAATTTAAAAACCTAAATGTGGATTTACCTTTCAGTTTATCTGAACTTCATGATTTCTTTGACTTATACAAACATTTTAAAAATCTGTCTCCTTTTACATATAGTGAGCAATTTGGTTCAGTACCCTGAGAGAAGAAAAACTCATCTCAATTTACAACACTAAAATAAATAATTCAGTTAAAACTAAAAGTGGTACCAATCCAGCAAACTATTGATGGAGAGGTCTGGCCTTCCATGAAGCCAGGCAACATGAAGTTTTCAATGAGGATTACTTGTTCAGACAAGTTACAAAGATTATAAAAATACTCAGATTAATTACAAAATAGTTCACATTCTCATCTTATGGAAAATAAATATCAGGAACATATGTGGGAAGAGACAATACCAGTGGCATTTAAACTTCAAGCATTCTGAGCTCCTAACTTTATACACTGATACATCAAACACACATTAACCAAAAAAGCCATAATACAAGTCAAAATCCAACCTAAGGCCTCTATGAACTAAAAATCTGAAATTTTCTATGCAAGTCAGACAAGATCAAAAAATGGAAAATTCAAACCCTAAAGCCAAAACCAATCAAGTCTTCCAATCCTGAAGTCAATATCCAAATCACATACAGGACCAAAAAGGGGGGAAACACTCAGGTCTACAAATGGATAAGCAGTTCCAATACAATTCAGATCCCGACATTTTCCCACTCAGAAACAAATGCAGTGGAGCTTTTCCTAGGAAAAGAGAAAAAAGCTCTCCCAATGAATTTTGTAAGTGACATCTAGAAAGTGTGCCTCTTTCTGTCTCTTTCCCTGGCGCCTCATTGGAGGAAGGAGGGGGTTGTTTTTGTATTCTCCCCCAGTGGAGCAAGACACAATCAGATGTTAGCTGGAGGAGAGAAACCACTTTTGACAACAGCAAATAAAAATAAAAGTGCCCTTCCTCCCCTGACAGGATGGACACCCCACCTCACACGCCCCTCCCCACTCCAACCCCTCCTTCACTCACCACCCCCCCAGCACCACCCCCTCCTCACCCCGGAGCGCCACTGCGTCTGTGGTTTGGTGCTACTGTTGCCCCGGAGTGAAAGTCAGAGCCAGAGGAAGGCAGTGAAGCCCCCACAGACACACTTACCTTTCCTGCCCCCCACTTTTGAGTGCCTTCCCTGGAGCTGTGGAGGATGACACAAAGGGTAATAAAGGGGGGGAGTGGAGGAGGAGGAGGCGAAGGAGGAGGAGGAGAGCTGGGGAAGTGGCTGCTCCTGGGTGTAGTGAGATGTCTCCAGCCAGGGCCAAGCAGCAGCAGCAGCAGCAGCAACAGCAGCAGCAACAGCAGCAACAGCAGCAGCAGCAGCAGCAGCAGCAGCAGTAGCAGCAGAGAAGGGTCTGTGTTGCTAAGAGGCTTTTGGTCTCTTTCTCTCCTCCTCTCACGGCCAAAGAGGAGGAGGGTGGAGGGGGCTCGAGAGGGAGGCGAGTGGAGGGGTGAGGGGGTAGGAGTCGTGGATGGGGATTTTCGAAGAAGAAGAAACTCCTTCTCCTTCTCTCTCTGGCTCAATCCCCCTCTCAGGGCTCGGGGCTGGAGGGTGGGGGAAGGAACTCAGTCGCCTTCCCCCAACCCCCCTCAATTCAAGGTTGAAGTGGGGTAAAATTAGTGTCCTGTCCCTTTAAAAATAGAAATAAAAGGTGCCCCCCCTCTGCCACTGCCTCTCTCTTCATCATCAGCTGCTGCTGCTGCTGGGGTCTCTCTGCTTGGGGGGGAGGGGGGGTTCGGGTAGAAGAGACTGGAGGCACTCACTGCGCATGTCACTCTCTGACGGGAGGCTGGTTGGTTGAAGGCAGGAGGAGGGGGAGGGGAGGAAATGAGATGTTTTCCCAGAAGGCTCCGAGGCGCTCACGACCCGGAAGACATTGTAGCAGGGGGTAGAGGGGCGGGGGCGGGAAGGAGGAGGAAGTCGCTTCTCTTTAACACCCCTAGCTCCCTCCTCCCTCCTAAGAGAAAGTGGAGGAACGGAAGTGGGCGTGGACGGAGGCCCAAGGAGGTCACGTGCTTGCTCTGGGGGCGTGCGGGCTAGGAGAGGCTGTGCGTGCGCGGGGCATGTCGGGAGTAATTGTTTTACCGTTGGCAGCTGCAGGTGGAGCCCAGTAGAGAACGCAGCGAGGCGGTCTTGGGAAGCGGTTCTTACAGTCGCGGGATCCCCGCTTTGTCCTGGTAAAGACACGCTTTCTTGCGCGAGGTAATATGGGGGTAGGCTGTCCTGACAAGGACGGTCAGGGGAGCGGGTGGCCAAAGGCAAACCGAAAAGGGGCGGATAGAAGGTTGGGGAGACCGAGAATGTGGGAAGTGGGAAGGCTTTTCTAGGCCGGGCAGGCCAGGACCAGTCGGGATCGTTCTCTCTCGTGACCTCACCATAAGCCTGTCTTTAAATCTCTGACTAGTAGCGGGAGTCCTGAGGACGCTTGGGCCTGCAGCGAGGTGCTGGGTGAGATGCACGCTGTCCGGGTTCGAGAGAAATGGGATCTCTGCCGCCTCGGCAGGTGACTGATGACTTTCACAGAGCAGGGAACCTAACCAGGGAGAGAGACAACCCCGGTGTGTGCATTTTGACTTGACCAGAGCATTGCATTTAAGTGGCTGTGCCCGCTTCTTTGCTGAGCTCGAAGCCTTCCCTGGGCGGCTTGCAGGTAGGAGCGGGTAGCGGACCCTGGAGTAGAATTTCTCTCCTTGTCTTCTGTTGTTGCCGCAACGAAAAGCCAGTGCTTGCTCTCAGAGGGATATGCAGTTGTGTAGTTGCTGATACTGAGTTTTATGGTTGATAGAGAAGGGTCATAGTCAAATTTTCTCTCCCAATACCGTGGATGATAGATTTTTTTAAAAGGTTGTTTATCTTACCTTTCTGTGGATACGTGCTTTATTTTAAGCTTTTGGTTTATCAGTTAAACGCTACCTGTTTTTGTTGGAAATAATGTTTATACCTTATAAGGGTTCAGCATTTTTTAAGAAAGGATTTGTAAAACTTTCATAGTGAAACTGCAATTTCTTTTTCACTTTCGTTTTATATTATCTTACTTTTAAAAAATCCCAATCTGCGTTTTCTTCTTTATAAAGATACTTTGAGGAATCATCACTTATGTATTTTTTTAAAACTACGAATTGAAAATTCCTCCCGTTTATTGTGTTGGTATTATTGATTGTGTGGTGTGACCTTTTTAGGGTACACTATGGAAGTCACAGATTACATACTGTAAAAGTTTGGGCCGTGGATCCTATTTTTGCATTATTGCTGAGTGCTTACTGCTCTCTATTTGTACAGTCATGTCAGATAGATTCAAAACTAGATTCCTTTGTACTGAAACTGAATATTTACCACAGTAGAAAAAGTACAAGGCAATTAATTTGCCTTAGAATTTTTAAATCTTTTTATGAAAAAATACTAAATATGCAGAAAAGTGTCACAAACATATGCATAGTATAATGTGTAACTAAAGTGAACTCTGTAATCACTACTAAAGTCAAGAACTAGAATATAAGTGGCACCAGAGGAGCACCTGTCATCCATTCATTCCTGACATCCCCCTTTGCACCTCAGAGGGTGACATTATCTTGATTTCTGTGGTAATAATTTTCCATGTTTCCTCCTAGTATTTTTTTAACCACATATGTCAGCATTCCAAACAATATACACTAGTTTTGCTTTTCTTTTTACTTTGTGAAAATTGACTTATATATCATTTTGTATGCTTTTTTCTCTGAGATTTAACTGTTAATGTTTATTGAACTTAACCTTGTTCAGATATTTTCATTGCTGTATGGTAATGTTTATAGTGTAACAGTACAATCTTTTTAGGAATAAGTGGAGTTAACTAGTCTAATTATTGGTGGACATTTGTATTGTGTTTCATTCTTAGCAGTTATGCACAGTGCCACAATGAATGTCCTTATACTTGTAGTATTCTTATCCTCATAACATGCATTTACATATATTTATCTTCAACATCACTTTGTTTAGTCAAACTTCTCTATCACTGGATATAGCAGTTTATATCCTCACAATAGTATATGATAGATCCCTTTATTTCTGCCATCCAACTAACAGTTGGATGTAGATTCTGAGGAATGTAGCTTTATGTTGTTTTAGTTTATACTGTTCTGGTTACTAATGATATTGAGCACTTTCTCAAAAACATTTTAGTTATTTAGGTGTCCCTTTTTTTGGAATTATCTCATTGTCTTTTTAGGTCTTTCCCAGTTTTATATGGGGTTTTCTGTTTTACTTAAAGATTTGTAGCAATATGGCAAATATCTTTTCTATGCTTGGAGTATTACTCTCTTCCTAGATCATAGCTTTGTCTCCTTTTAGTCCATTATTGGTTTATATTCTGCTGATGTTGTTATTTGAATTTTATGTGTAGCCATGACTTCAGAAAGCAAGTTCTGCAGTTACCATACCCATTATAGTGCCAGTGGCTGCATGTGGATTTTGAGCATTTGAAATTTGGCTAGTGTGACAGTTTAGGTTGTGATGTTTGTAAATGTAAAATAAATACCAGATTTCAAAGACTTAATATGACAACATTTAAAATATCTGTCCTTTTCATTTTGATTGCAAGTTGAGATTATAATTAATTTAACCTTGTTTTTTGAAATATAGTTGTTACAAAATGTCAAATTATTTTATGTATTTCTGTTGGCCAGCCCTATTTTCTGCCATCAGTGTTAGTTCTTAATATATTTACCCCCCTCTTTGTTCTTAATTCCTTCATTTATTTTGGGATCTTTCTGTTTTAATGTGAGTATACTCTTTAGAAATATCTAATTTTAAATATCCATCAGGGGCTAGCACTGTAGCTTAGTGGGTGAGGTTGCCACCTGTGGTGCTGGCATACCTTGTGGGCAGCAGTTGGAGTCCAGGCTGCTCCACTTCCATTCCAGCTCTCTGCTATGGCCTGGGAAAGCCCCTGACCCATATGGGAGACCTGGAAGAGGCTCTTGCCTCTCTGTAACTCTGCCTTTCAAATAAATAAGTAAATCTTAAAATATATATATGTATGTGTATATATATCCATTAGACATTCCATTCTGTTAGCCAATTCTCTTAAGTTTTTGCTTATCTTACAATGTCCTTGTTTTGCCTTAAATCTTTAGGAGTATATTGGGGATATTAAATTATACATTTGTGGTTATTTATTTTTTACTACCTTGAAGATAACACTCTCCCTATTTTGGTTTTTATTCTTTATTTTGAGAAGTCAGCTGTCAGGTTCTTGCTACTTTGAAGGGAATCTGTCTTTTAGCATATTTTGTTTGTCAAAGTTTTTTTTTTTTAAGATTTATTTATTTGAAAGTCAGGGTTACAGAAAAGGAGAGGCAGAGGCAGAGAGAGAAAGGTCTTCCATCCACTGGTTCACTCCCCAAATGGCCGCAACTGCCAGAGCTGGGCTGATCCGGTGCCAGGAGCCAAGAACTTCTGGGACTCTCACGTGGCTGCAGGAGCTCAGGATCTTGGGCCATCTTCCCCTGCTTTCCCAGGCTATGGTAGAGAGCTGGATCAGAAGTGGAGCAGCCGGGACTCGAACTGGCACCCATATGGGATGCTGGCACCACAGGCAGCGGCTTTACCTGCTATGCCACAGCGCCAGACCCCATAATTTTTCTTCTATTCCTCTAAGATGTTTTTGTGTTGGTATTCTTTTTCCTGCTTTGAGTTCACTGGGATTCTTAACTCATTCATCAGTATTTTTTAAAAATATTGGCCATGTCCATCTGTACTGTTTCTAGTTACCTGCTGAAAATGCCAGCTTTTATTGGCTTAGTGTTTGTAGTTCATTTATTGTCTATGCCAGATAACTGTAGTTTCTAAATTTTTGATAAATCTGTTTGTGCCGGCTCATTTTTGTGTCTATGTGTGTGTGTGTGCGTATGTGTGTGCATGCACACATATTGGTCTTCCAAGTATTGTATTAGAAAAGAATATATAGGGGCCAGCGCCTGCAGTGCCAGCATCCCATATGGATAGCAGTTTGAGTCCCGTCTGCTCCACTTCTTATCCAGCTCTCTGCTATGGCCCAAGTCCTTGGGCTCCTGCACCAGCATGGGAGACCGTGAAGAAGCTCCTGGCTCCTGGCTTCATATCAGGTCAGCTTGGGCTGTTGCGGTCAGTTGGAGAGTGACCCAGCAGGTGAAAATCCTCTCTCTCTCTGTATGAGTGTGTGTGTGTGTGTACCTCTTTCAAAGAAATAAATACGTCTTTTTCAAAAAAGATTATATAAGTCTATATGAGTCATAGTATAATAGTATCTTTTTTAAAAAATGCTTTATTTTTTTATTGGAAAGAGTTACACGGAGAGAGGAAGAAAAACAGAGAAAGATCTTCCATCCTTTGGTTCATTCCCCAATTGGCTATAATGGCTGGAGCTGCGCCAATCCAAAGCCAGGAGCCAGAGCTTCTTCCAGGTTTCCCACATGGGTGCAGGGGCCCAAGTCCTTGGGCCAACTTCTGCTATTTTCCCAGGCCATAGCAGAGAGCTGGATCAGAAGTAGAGCAGTTGGGACTTAACTGGCGCCCATATGGGATGCCGGCACTGCAGGCGGCAACTTTACCTGTTAAGCCACAGCACAGGCCCCAATAGTATCTTTCCTAAGAAGGTGCACTTTTCTCAGAAAGATACTTAGGGATGCTACCAATCTCAGGTCACTTGCTGGATTTTTAATATTTGGGATTCCTTCTGTTAACACACATAACAGTAAACAGATTTGAATTCATATTTCTACTTTACTTCCAATCTTCGTTTTGATGATGTTGCCCTTGAAGTCTCAACTTAAATTAGGCTGTGTTTTATCACAGTCTCCAACTGTGTTGTGAGGCCCTGTGTTTTGACTTTTTAAAATATCCTAGCAGAGTTTGTAGCAGCTCAGCCTTATTTCTCAGCCTTTTCTTTTGGGTAGACAAATGCTCTCGGAGCAGAAGTGAGAATGTAGTTTATTTCTGGTTTACTTTCTCCTAGATTTTGGCATGTAATTTCACACTGCCTTATTTCTTTCATCCTCACTTTGAAGGTTTTTGTTGTTGTTGTTGTCATCCTTAGCAGGAGTCTTGGTCCAGTTTGACAGTGCAATAAATGGCATACTCAACTCTCTTTCCTTTTTTTTTTCCTTAGATTTGGTTTTCAGATCTTTATGCTTCTAATCAAAATTTTATGATTAAACTTAAC